CAGTTTAGCAAAATAAAACGGTGAATGAATATTTCCTGAGTACTCACTGAGTAACAATACTCAGAAATTGTTAGTAGTACCAATATGAGTACTCATGGACGAATTATGAGTAAAGTCGTACTCATCGGATGAGTACTTTCACTAGGGTATGGTCTTAAGCGCAAACAAATGATCTGCGCGTACCCATTAAAGTATATCCACCATGGTTTTATCGTTCACTAACCCGTTATTAGGAGGAAATAACACGAAAGCCGTTAAAAGATCAATCAAAAATTGAGGGCTAAGTTTGGCGCCATCTTTCCCTCAACGTTTGCGTCTAACTTATCACAATCACAGTAAACACTGTGATTCTGATGTTTACAGGAGCTTTTTTCTTCAAATAGCTGATTCAGCTCTGAAAAATCTGAGATTGACATTTTCAGAAACTTCAGCTTTGATTCCGTCACTAGAATCAGAGCTGATCAGTATTTTCGGCTCTGAATCCGGACACATATTTTAATGAGATCTGATTCAGTGCTAAAAAACTGGAAAGCTGATTCAGCTATTCAGACCTAGCTGATTATCGACTAGTGTAGATGAAACTTTTTTCATTTCTTTACGCATTAAACACTGGATATATATTGATAAGAATAATCGTGTCTGAATTTTCTGGAAAATCAAGTCAACTTTTTTTAGAATCGTCTTTGATTTTTCAAAAAATCAAAAGCGATCGATACTCGAGAAAATAAATCAGTTTTGCATAAAATCAACGACGCCTTTTAGACTTGAAAATTTCCGCCGAATTCGTATGTGGGCAAATTGAAAATCAAGTGAAATATATTTTTAAAGAAATTGAAAATCTAGAACGATTTTTACAATTGTTTAGAATTTAGAATTCAATTTTTTGTGTATATATGTTGAAACAACTTACCGATACTTATTCATTATATGCATGATATAATAAAAAATTACAGCTTTCAAGAAGAAATGAGAGAGAAAAATGTGTGATTTACGCCGGTATTGTACTGTTGATATCCGAAAAGTAAAAATGTAATAATTTTTTTTCTGCTGAACGGATCTTTTTGAACTCTTTGTTATTTTGTTTGTTTAACGTTTGTCCACTACTAGGGGCAGCAGTTCTTTAGTTGCTTTTGTTGCTGCGATATAACAGTTTCATTGTCGTACGCCAAGGTTTTCGGTTCCCTCGTCGTGGAAAAATGAATTTTTTCGAAAGACGGAATGAGTTCTAATTCTTTTTTTTAGGAATAATTTGAAACTGAACACTCACTCTCTCGAAATATATAAAGGAATTAACGGTTTAATTTAATTTTGTATGCAAATGGATCAAAATATAGTTGTTATAGACACCTTGGTCTTTTTCTGTCTTGTGAACACAAGACAGAAAAAGACCAAGGTGTCTGTAACAATCTCAAGGTTGAATCTGGCATATCTCAGCTAAAACTAAACGCAATATTTATCAATAATAGTCAAAAGATTACCTTTTGATTTTAAACTCTTCCTATAAAATTTATTAACAAAAATTATATTTCAAATACGTTTCGGAAGAATCTTTTTCCTTCTTCAGATCAATGTCCTTCCAAACTATGACATAATAGTCAAAAGATAGCCCACGGATTGAGAAGCATTTTTGTACAAAAAAATAAACGATGGCAAACAGGATTTTACGAGTCCTCTATTACACTTGGGCTAGCGTTTCTTGATAGGCAAAAATAGCAGAAATAGTCATTAATTAGTTTGTGTTGTTTAAGGTAGAACTTCGACTCAGAGAAATCTACCTTTAGTCGACAGGGCATCAATACAGCGAGACTAAAACGAGGGAGCTTTATTTGAATACCAGTATGAATAAGTTTTAAATCTCTCTAGTTTTTAAACTCTAAATATATGTCGTGTGTCATATTCATCAACTGTTTTTTGTATAATGAGATTTTTCATCAATCAAAACATATTCACAATGTGTTTTGCTTCTATTTTTTTGACACTTGTCGCAATACTACAATGTTTTTAATGAAAATTTTTTTCGTATGGCATCCATAAATAAGGCTTACTAGATAAGGAAGTTGCCTCAGTGAATATCCGGATGACGTATACCAGTCTCGACTTTGCCAGCATGGTATGCATGACGGTCTGCTGGCTTGATCGTTCGATTTTTAGGCTATAGCAACGCTTCGCCATGTTCCATGCTGTCCGTTTCATCGGCATTTACTGCTGCTACCGCGCATCATAGCATAAATACATATCTACCTATAACAAGTAATACAATGAGTAATATAACCATTTTCTTGTTGATTCTGGATGAATAATTGAAGAAGAAAGCACAATCGAATATCTCACTTCACTTTTTTCTTATTTTAGTGTAACTAGATACTAATCCTAGCTTTGATGCTTACCATTAATTGAAATTTTCCTTATTTATTGTACCAACAAAGAGTCAATTAACGACTAATACTGAAGTACCGCGATGACCCATTGATATGCTGTTTTGCTTTTAGCGTATACCGTATCTTCTTTTTCTATTTGTTACATACGAAATTCTGTATGCGAGAGTTATTAGAACAGATTGAAATAATGGCGTAACCAGGATTTTTAGGCTGTTGGGCCGCGCTTCACCGAATCAAAAAAACTCGGTGAGCCTATGTGGGTCGAACGTTTCCTATTTGGGCAGGAAATCTTTCCGACTGTTGCCAGTTGTAATGTCACCATTTTCCGTGCCACTCGTTACTGTGGCTATGGGCTGTTCTCAGTACCGCGTATTCTGTACGATAGTGGATGCAGAGGGAAGCCTGAACTGTAGTAGTCTGACCACCAAACACGCAAAGAAATAAAGAATAAGTATATACCGCTTTACTTTGGATTTGTATTTCGTGTCATATACTTTGTTCAGAATTGGTAGGTGAAGGAGGAGCTTTGGGCCGAACACTCAAAAAAATTTTCTATTGGACCAATACCTCTTTCATGAATGAACATGATGGGTCACACATAAATTAAACTGGAACGTGCGTTTCTTTTCATTTCTGCTTTGTATTCACTCTCTCGTAAATCCAAGCTGGCAGTAAATATGCTACGTTAAAAATTAAATTAGTCTTGAGACGGTTTACGCTGAACGTTAAAAATTTTAAGACGCATCAATCAGGAAGGAAAAATGAATCGAACCCTGATTTATACTGCATTCGATTCGCCTAATACACTAATGAAAAAAGTTAGAGAGCTTTCGTTAAAATTCATTTTCATTGATGAGAAAATTCATTTTTTCTGAATCAGAGGCAAATTCGCAATTGTGCCCGTAATTCTCAATTTACTTTATTGGAACTCTTTTTCTGATCCCTTTTTTCTATCCAAATATCATATTCTTAATCAGGTGCAAAAAATTAGTCGACCGGTGTGTATTTCTATCCTATCCGACTAGTTTAACTTTTTTCGAATTTTCACGTTGAAAAATTATCTAGGTTTTCACCTCCAAATGAAAATTCCATGGCACACAAATACACACACAAATACACACACAAAGATAAAAGTTACAAACTACAAATGACTAGTTCTTAGAGGAACTGTTGTATTCTTAAAACAAACAAATTGAAGGAAGAAAGTGTCACAACATCGGGCAATAAGCTGTTCCAGTCTTTTGTCATTCGAATTAAGAAACTATGTTAGTTAGTTAGTTAAAGATACCAATACCCAAGTGGGTGTATGGTGAAGATCACAAAAACAGGGTTATGATTTAAAAACAACAATTATGACTCCTGACCGATGTAAAAAGTTAGGTATTTCAATTTGAACTAAGTGTTTGTGAGGAGAATGCCGTGTTGTAGAAAAAGAGTAAGGAGAAAACGGGCCAAAGCCGTACATCCCATCAACGTTTTCCAGAAATGTTTCAAGCGGGCAATTTTTCTCTGCCACCTTAAGCATTCGAATGGGCATTTTTCTGAAACTTCTGAAGGAGAAGAGACGAAGTCGCCACTTATGATACTCGCAATAAGACGTTGAAGTGAATTTAAGGGCTCAAAATCGATAGAATATGAGCTATCATAGACAATTGCTCCATACTCAAAGACAGGTCTTACACAAGTCTCACAGATGTTTTTTCAATTTGGCAGGGACATCACTAGGACACTACGTAGTATCTATCGGCGAAAGATCGTTGAAATCGGAGTGGGCAAAGAGGCTGGACACGCTCTGTTAAACCTGGTACTTTGGATTACGCGGATGCCCATGAACAATCAACATACCCGAAAAAAGATTTATGATTATGAAAGTTTCTTTACTTGCAAAAAGTCGATTTGTAACCAACTTTCATTTTGGACCACAGTGTACATTTTTTGTGATCTAGTTCAGACCTAATTTTTATTTAGTTTGTTTTAGTCAAGTTCTTGAGAAAAATAAAATTGAGCGAAGTTCTAGAGCATGCGAATACGTACAGCACTTACCTCCTCCGTCCAACGGAAGACCACTTATGGACTTCTATTTTGGCTTCCCACTCAAAGCGCTTTTTGACCAAAAATCGCGGAGGGAACCTCAGACATCTCGAATGTAACTATCAATCATTAGTTTGTAGTCAGAACATGTAGAGTTAAAGAGACTAACTTTAACGTTTATATGATCTGCTGGTAGACATCTCATATACGATTTTAATGCGTTACGGTGACATTCTTGCGCAGCAGCAATATCGCCTCTTTTTAAATGTACAAGTCCAATACAACTTTGGCAGTAAGCTTTCGACGGATGATCTTCTGGCAAAGTTGTTTCAAATATTTGAAAAGCAGCATTATAATAGTCGAAAGCATCGTCAAATCTATCGCTTTTTCGATAAACATCGCCTATATCTGTTTTAACTACTCCAATATCCGGATGCGTCGATGGAAGATTTTTTTTTTCTATTTCAAGTGCACGTTTATAGCAATCTAATGCTTGTGCATATTTCAGTTGATCAGAATAGTTGCTGCCCATACTACGAAGAGTTTTAGCAAGAGATAAATGTTCAGGACCTAGTTTTTCTTCACACATCTTTTTGGCTTGTGAATACATTTCCATTGCTTCTAAATATTCTCCACCATTTTGATACACCCAGCCCTGACTATTCAATGTACGAACTAAACATGGATATATGCTAGACTTACGTAATTTCTGATATTTATAAGCTTGTTCTAAATAATCCTGAGCTTCATCAAGTTCTTTCTCTAAACAATACGCTCTGCCCATATTATAGTAAATATCGCCAACATCTTCATGATCAGATGTAATCGTTAATAATAAGTCTTCGAAATATTTTTTTGCTATGGCATATTGAGCCATTTCAATTAACAAATGTCCAAACAATACATTCATACTTATAGCTTCATGTTCTTTTTTTGCTAAAGCCATGTATGTGTTTACAATATCAGCTCCTTCATCCGTAGTGGTCATACAAACTAGCCAAATGCCATCTTTTGCATCGAATGAAATTTTATCAATTTTGAAGGAGCTTCCAATACCGAATAGTATTTCTCTTTCTCCGGGCACAGCACTTCTTTCCGTTATATCTGCAAAGATAACATGTTGTAAACGAGTATCAGCCGTAATTACATATAGCACAGATTCAACTTCACGATGTTTTGATACTTTTGTAGCAAATTGCATTGCGACTGTTTTGTCTAAACTGGTAGATAAATACCCGTTGGTTGTTATTACATTTCCTACCACATCATACATTTTTTCTACATCAGTTGTCGACATATGGAGACCACGATACAAAGTTATAACCGGATTATCTTTCTGACATTCTCTAAATAACTTATGTTCGAGTTTCAGCTGAGTCGACAAATCCGTAATAAAATAGCGAAACATGTATAATGCTTCGATGTCTTCTGTTCTCAACGCTTTGTTTAACAATCTATAAAGAAATCCTTCTTCAGTGTACCGTGTTTAATGCGTTTATTACATGATCTCAGTCAATACCGAAAACTCATGATGTATCACAGTAATCAATCTTTTTATTTTGAGTCTATTATTCTACTAGCATGACTCTGTATGAATGTATAATACGTGAATAAGGTCAAACGAATAGCGTCATTAGCATCATAATTTTTATCAAAGTCATCAATTTGTTTCAAATAAGTGTTATTATTTCTGTAATATGTTTTACATTTATCAAGCATTTCCATTTTTGAATCATTTGTTTGCTTCATCTCCATCAATACGTTTGTCAATAATTGGTACCATAAAAACGATGCTGCTTCACGAGTTAAGTCGCGTGTGGACTTTTGCCTCTGATTAAATGAATTGAAAATGGAGTAGTACTTTTTTGCACAAGTTCAATATTCAAACGAATGCTAGTTATTAACGCCGTTTGATCTGAAAATACATCGATTACAGTTGAGAATTCTTTTTTTAAATGGCAATACCGATTGCGTATTGCGCAAAAAATAAACACAGAGTCGACTTGTTTTAGTTCTTTTATCAATGGTAGCGTTTTGACGGCGAATGCACCAGATATTATTAAAAAGATTTTTTCATTTTTTATCGATTGCATGTAATCGACGCATGCATTCGGATCAGTATAGAAAAGAACATAATCGTTTATATCACGAAGCATATCTTTCGTTAATTGACCATCTTCTGTTTTATCTACATTCTTGTCCAGCCAGATCAGTGTTACGCTTTCTTTGTTTTCGGTCGCCATTATCGGTGTCAAATTGGTGATGTCAGCTGATTGAACTGGAACGGCGGCGACTACAGAAGTGTCGGTTCTGGATGATTTCCCTCCCATAATCTATAAGTAAAATGAAAAGAAAACGGACAGATATATTAAGAAGAAAAGAGAGGCGTTTTAACCCCTTAAGAGATAGTTTATTTGTAGTTTATATTTCCCTTATGACCTGGAAAACATGTTTTTAAGAGCTGGAATGTCAGACTATGGTCAGTCAATTAATACTTTCTTTTCCTGAGTCTACCCTAGCACCACGTCTACGCGGAAATACTTGAATGTCTCAAAGCTTTATTTATAGCTAATGTGATCTAAAAACAAGAACAGTAAAAAGAAGTATTTATTCTATGTTTTATCTTGTTTAGCAGATTAAGAAACACACTGAAATTATACATGAATAAATACAAAACAATATGAAACAAAAAAGTAAAAATTGAACCAAAAAATATAAAAACAGTATAAAATCATACGATAAAAATTTTATTTCACGTCGTGATCTTAAATGATTATCTTAGTTATTTTCTCCATCTTCGAAATTATATTCGCCTCTTTGGGGATATATTACAGTCATCAAACAAGCGCAATCACAGGCTCAAATCACGATTGATACCAACAAGACACTTACCTTGGATCAATATACTGAAAGCCAAGATATTTAGTTGAATCATAACCATATTTTTTTGCAACTACATCATCACTCATAATTGTAGCACCATTTTTCATATAAAATTGAAGTGCTGGATCATTAGCTCGTCTACAAAGGAATTGTTCAGCAATTGTATATCATCTCCTCTCTTCTCTGCAACGGTTTCCCATCTTTAATAGTTGGTATGTCAAACCATAGTTCCACTTTGTTCCACATCTGTGCAGAGAAAGCAAGAAAAAGTGATATATCTCCATTTTAGATATGCACCGATGTCGGTAACCGACACCGAAAAAACCGATGTTCGGTTTAAACCAACACTGAATAGCTCTCAAACATTTTTATGTAAGCTTTTAAAATTATATGAACAGTGAGCACATAGCATCTGTTTACTAATGTCAGAGAAACATCTGATTTTATCTGCACCTGTTTCAGTCAACCGACAATCAAAAAACTAAACCCAGAAAAAAGCACACGCAAATCTACATCTTGACTTAACGAGTTATACATAGGGCACTCCAAAAGTTTTTTCCTCCGGCTCTTTTAAAAGCCGTAATTTAAGTTGAACTATTCTATTATAATGGTTAGACATATTTAGGATTATGTGCAAAAGTACACATTTAAAACTCTTGTGCGTCGCTGTATTTTTAAATTTCTCTCAGATCAAAGATATAAAATTTTTTATATGAATTTTGAACTCTCACGTGAAGAATTTCGAACAATGATTTTGTATGATTGGAAAACTGGCTTAACGCACAATGCAAATCATGTCCCTTTAGGGCAAGCATGGGAGGACCAAGCGCCTTCTGATCGTACAGTTCGCAATTGGTATCATGAATTTGACCGTAGCAATTTCAGTGTTGAAGATGCTGCCCGTTCAGGTCGTCCTCGAACTGCGATCAACGAAGAAACAATTGATGCTGTCCGATCAGTAATCGAAGATGATCCTCATTCAACATACGAACAAATTGAACACATCCGGGGCATTGGTTCGTCAGTGGTCAAGTCAATTATTCATGAATATTTAAAGTTGCACAAGATTTGCACTCGATGGGTTCCTCATCAACTCACCGATGACCAAAAACAGTTCCGTATTCAATTTTGTCGAGATTCACTTGAAAGATTTGAAGGAGGTCAATCCCCTCGTGTATTCGACATTATAACTGGTGACGAATCATGGTTCTATCATTATGATCCAACAACAAAAGAGCAATCAAAAGTTTGGGTGTCATAAACTGATCCGCGACCAACCAAAGTTCATCGATACAAAAGTTCAGGCAAGCGAATGGTGGCGATTTTCTTCATGAAATCCGGTTTAATCAAGTCTATACCATTAGAACGTGGTGAAACGCTAACAAAGAGATGGTATGTCGATAGCTGTCTGACACAAGTCTTCGAAACAGTACCGGAATGGCGACAAAAGATTGGTCTTCGTGGTCTCATTTTGCATGATGATAACGCGAGGCCGCATAGAGCCGGAATTGTTAACGAATTTCTGGCCGAAAATCGTGTTGAACCACGCAGATCTGATAAACGTATGCGTGTCTATGTGCGGCACATGCTTGCACTTATACAATACAAGTACAAAAAAGCCATTTTTTTTTATATAGGGCGTCTAGGAACCTATGAAAAAACTATCGACGCAAAAACTATGCCATTAGAAAGTAGACACTTCGGCTATCCAACAACCATGTACTTTTCTCAGAATCAATGTTTTTGAAGAAAATCGGCATTTTTGACCCAGGGGAGAGGTCTTAAGAGAAGAGAGGAGATAATGTACGATTGAGACATGTAAATAAATTTAATCATGAATGCATTTGTGCCAGTAAAGTGCTGTACAATATTTCTTTCCACGATGCCTGAAAGTTTCTTATGATTACTGCAACCGGCATGAAAAATGATTGACTACGTCCGCCGAAACATACTGAATTCATATTGTTTGTAAGCGATTAGACGTTGAAAAAAACTGATAAGTTTCAAAAAAAACGTGTAAATAATCTGTAGATCATTACTGTACACTGATAACATTCTATTGGAAAGGAGGGGTCCGCTTTTCCAATGCTTTTGGCCGGTTGCGTTTTCGACTTAGTTATGATCACATTTTGTAGAGAAAACGATTTTACACATTTTGAAGTGCATATGACCCATTATAATATTATGGAGACTTCAAAATAACTTTTCTGAGGAGGCACATAAAGCATATCGGTGCTTAACAAAAGCGATTTTGTTCAAAATCTATATTAAATATAAAGTTATGGTAAACCCTGATACAGAAAAATAGCTCTTGCAAAACTCTACAATATTCTAGTTAAAGAAACCCTGCATATCATTGCACAGTGGGCAACCACGTGGACATTAGCTGAAAAAACGAAAGTGAGTTTTTCGAGTTTTGAATAGTATGGATTATACTTTGCTTAACGGTAGATTTGATAGTGAAAAATTTTTTTTTCGATTTTCTCGAATATATTTAGTCTTTTAGTATGCTTACAAATATCTTTCTGAGGGAAAAAGCGCGTTTAGTGTGTAAAAATTGTTCTATCTTTCTACTAAAGTGAATGTGATCATCACTTCCATTCTCTCTATAAAGCTTTGATCAGTTAACTATTGTCCACGTTGATAAAAGTGTGAGGAGTTCAAACCTAACTCTTTAACATCCAGCTCTTTACAAACAATCGTGATGAGCGCCATAAACATTCGTCCGAGACAAAGTTCTTTCGCCTTTTAGTTAGTCAACTGAACAGAACACTCTCTGGGACTGGACTTGGATCAATGCATAATCGTTGGTACAGACTCGGCGTCTTAAGGTCCACAGGCGGAAGAAAAATGTGTTGTGGACTTACGAGGGAACTACCCCAAGTGTCCGCTCACTTTTTTCTTGATACCTAGTGGAGAATAGGTTATCGACTATGCTGATTCCGAATATGACAATGGTTTTTGCTGCTAGGCCTTCGGAGACCTGGTTTTCTAGAAAACCAGTTTTTCAGAAACTCCAAAAAT